AAGTCATAGTAATAATACAGAAAGAATGAACTGTTTGTCTTTACTCCACAGATCTCCCCAAAGTGTCTCTCCTCCAGAAGTCTTCCTCCTCTCCAGTCACCTGCCACGCTACAGGTTTCTATCCTAACAGAGCTGAGATGGTCTGGAAAAAAGATGGAGTGGAGCTTCATGAGGGTGTGAACAAAGGAGAGATTCTCACCAACAATGACGGGACCTTCCAGATGAGTGTTGACCTGGATGTCTCATCAGTCAAACCTGAAGACTGGGACAGATACAGATGTGTGTTTCAGCTCTCTGGTGTGAACGAGGACATCGTCACCAGACTGGACAAATCAGAGATCAAGACCAATGAAAGTGAGTCTGGAATCAGGATCAGATGAGTGATAAACGTGGGAAGCACACACTTGAATTACTGCAATACCCTGTGGTTCATGTTGGATGAGATAATCTGTTTGTTTAGATATTCTTTCTGTCAGCTTCTGTCAGAATAATTTTAAGACCTAAATCAGTTTAGACCAAGTTGTGTTTTTCCACCACATTTTTTCCTTGCTGAACATTGATGAATATAAAACATGTTCATGTGTGGCCACTGTTAAGCAATTATAATCTCTGTAGTTACCTGATGATTGGACAGTTTTAGAAGATTTAATAGTAAATGGGGGAAAACATGTATATTTTGAAACATTGCTACGTTCAAATTTATTGGCAATGTATCTAAATTAAATTTAATGTCTGAACTTTTATTGTTGGAATGAAAACAAAAATTAGTGAGACAAATATGTAGTGACCATAAACGAAGCTGTTGTACATGATTGTCATCTGATTGGAAACTTTTTTGTTCTCACCTTTTGTTTGTTCTGTGATCCACAGGAAATTCCATCTTCCTGATCATCACTGTTGTTGCTGCTGTGGTTGTTCTTGCTGCCATCGCTGTGATCGCATTCATTATTTACAAAAAGAGGACAGGTGAGAAACAAGAACTTATTTACTTTTTTCTGCATCTTCTTTCTTTCTTTCTTTTTTTTTTTTACACCTGAGCTACAGTTTGGGTGTCAGGGAACAAAATAACCACCAACTAAGTTATTGGAACCCAAACATTTCTTCTCTTTTCTTAACCATCAACTCTGCCAAACAAACACATCCTAAGGCACACCTTTACCTGCATTAGAAAGGTGTGCCTTCTCCAGCTTCCTCCTCAGACACAATCGTTTCAGTTGCTTTACTCACAAAAATTATTTAGCTTTTTTTTCTTAGCAGCCAGGTTTCTCTTTCAGAACAGCATTTCCAAAGTTATTTTCTTATTTGATTCCTTTGTTTTATTTTATTACGGGTTTTGACAGTAAGCTCATTTTAAAAACTGCCTGAGAGTATAAAATGATTCTGATTTAATAATATATAGATTCAAGAGCTTTATTGTCAGTACAGTAGTATACACAGTATACAGTGTACCAAAGTGCTGTTTCACCCTAAGCCCCCCAAGGTGCAAATATATAAAGGATATATCTCCAAGAGATATAAAACTAGGAATTACAAATAAATAACATGCTAAGTTTCGGTACTGTAATGGTAACTATACAATATTAACTTTATGATAAACAAAGATAAACAAAGACAGGACAGAGACAATACAAAGTGGATTGCGCAGTAGGTATTGAATACCAGATTCAAGTTATTGTCAGGATATTATTGACGAGACGAGACAAAGACATGTGCAAAATGCAAATGTGCAAATATAATATAATTTCGATGTGTGTTCAGAACTATGTGACTGAGTGTGTAAATAAGCATATTGTTCCCAGGTCCAGTTTGTAGTGGATTTGTGGAAGTTTTTGTTGTTTTTGAGTCCTTTGATGAGTATTGTAGGTGTTTGTAAAGGTGTATGTGTATATCAGTCCTTTCGTGGTGATGAGTTGAGGGCTCTGACTGCTTGAGGGAAAAAGCTCTTGCAGTGTCTGGTCGTTACAGTTTTGATGCTGCGAAACCTTCTGCCAGATGGAAGGAGGGAGAACAGAGCATGTGAGGGGTGGAAACTGTCCTTCACTATGCTGTTCGCATGTCAGATGATGTGTCTGTCATAGAGTTGGGAGATGGGTGGGAGAGGGCCTCCAATGATCCTCTCTGCTGTCCTCACTATCTGCTGCAGAGACTTCTTTTCAAGAGGGTGCAGTTCCTGTACCAGATAGTGATGTAGCAGCAGAGGACACTCTCAATGGTTCCCCGGTAAAATGATGGGAGGAGGGAGTCTGGCCTTCTTCAGTTTCCTAAGAAAGTGAAGACGTTGTTGGGCTTTCTTCATGATGGTGGTGGTGTTCAAGTTCCAGGAGAGGTCAGCTGATATGTGCACACCCAGGAACTTCACACTGTTGACCATCTCAACAACAGATCCGTTGATGTGCAGTTGGGTGTGGGTCGTTGAGCTCTTCCTGAAGTGAACAACCATGTCTTTAGTCTTCTGAACATTTAGAGACAGGTTGTTATTCTGACACCAGTCCACCAGGTGTTGTACCTCCTCTCTGTATTCACACTCATCGTTGTTGGTGATGAGACCCACCACTGTTGTGTCATCTGCAAACTTGATGATGTGGTTTGAGCTGTACTGTGCAGTACAGTCATGTGTTAGCAGGGTGAACAGCAGTGGGCTAAGCACACAGCCCTGCAGCGATCCTGTACTCAGTCTGAGGACTTTGGAGGTTTTATTTCCTATGAAGACAGACTGGGGCCTGTCAGTTAGGAAGTCCAAGATCCAATTGCAGAGGGAGGTGTTTATTCCTAGTAGGCCCAACTTTACCAGCTTCTGTGGAATGACTGTGTTGAATGCTGAGCTGAAGTCAATAAACAGAATTCTGACATAGGTGTCCTTTCTGTTGAGATGGGAGAAAGAAAGGTGAAGAGCAGATGAGATGGCATCATCTGTGAAGCGGTTTGGGCGGTAAGCAAAATGTAACGGGTCCAGATTCTGTGGAAGCTGAGTGTTCATGTGCCTCAATACCAGCCTGTCAAAGTACTTAGTGATGATGGGCATAAGTGCCACTGGCTGATAGTCATTGAGGCAGGACACAGTGGACTTCTTTGGCACTGGGATGATTTTTGAGGTTTTGAGGCATGCAGGTACCACAGCTGAGCTCAGTGATGTGTTTAGGATGTCTGTGAAGATGCCTGCGAGCTGGTCAGCACACTCCCGAAGCACCCGGCCAGGTATGTTGTCAGGTCCTGTAGCCTTTCGCGGGTTTACTCTGCGAAGTGTCATCCTGACATCTGCTGTGGACACACAGAGTACTTGGTCGTTGGGGGAGGGGGGCATCTTCCTTGCTGGCTCTTTGTTCTCTGCCTCAAAACGTGCAAAGAAGTCATACAGTTGGTCAGGCAGGGAGGGATCACTGCTGCATGCTGGAGGTGTTGGCTTGTAGCCCGTGCTTGTTTGAATGCCCTGCCACAAGCGCCGAGTGTCCTTTCTACTTGTGAAACCTTTGTTGTTGATCTTATCTGCATACTGCCGCTTCGACTCTTTGATGGCCCGTGATAGGTCTGCTCTGGCTGTAGTGTAAGCTTCTCTATTTTTGGACTTGAAGGCAGAGTCTCTGATTTTCATCAGGTTGCGTAGCTTTGCAGATATGTACAGGGGAGAAAAACACATTAATAAGTGCAAATGTTTCAATATTTTGACTAGAATTGTACATGAGCACATTTTGTGTGCAAGATCAGAACATAAACATATTAGTGAGTAAGCCCACTGTCTGTTTTTAACTTTACAAATTAAGTTAATCCAGATTGCAAAATGAAAATATCAAATTATGTTTCCTGCCTTGTATAATACGTGAAAAAATTGTGTTAACATTTATAACAAATTATTAAAATGATGTATTTTTTCCTTTTTATTTCAGACAAACGTCCCCCATCTCGTAAGTTAAACTTTGTCCCTTTTCTTTAATCTCTTGTTCACACTAAATTAAAAAGAGTTTCTGTACTTTAATCTAAACAGTCTTTCCGGGCTGTTTCCTGTTGTGTTCGATTGTTGTAAAAGTGACAGATGAGAGCAGGATGTGGATTAACATTGTGTTTCTGACCTACAGCTGTAGAGAACCGTGAAGTCAAGGTGCAAATGCTTCCTCAAGACTAAACCACGAACAGCTCTGCACACAGTGAGTTACTTCATATTTGTGTCTCATGTTTTAGCTTTCTTTTAAAACTTATGTAAAATACTGGCTGTAATAAAATCTCATTTTTAAATGCAACCAAAAAAAGTGTTTAGTATAACTTTAAATCATATTAAGAGAAAAATGCTTTCAAAAAACAGTTTCATGAAATGATTTAACAAAATTAAAACAAATGTGTTAATTCCCTTCAAAAATATATGAAGTAAATACTCGACTGAATCAGGACTATTTTAGATCTTAATGAAACTGTAAGTAGGTTATTTGTGGATCTGAACAATCCTAACATTTATTGTTTCTTTTTTTCTCTGTAGGTTTATGGATAAACCTAAAGAGGAGCTGAAAGAAGATGTGGTTCAGCTCATTCTTCTCCATGAACTAGAATTCATTGATTGTTCACATCATAAAATTTGTTTTTAAAAAAAGATCTAAAATCTAAAATATAGTTGCTGGTTAATCAAGAAGTTTGAAAATGAGTTGGCAAATGTTTAACATAAACATCATAATGGTGAAACTAAATTATTCTGAATTTGTTGTTTTCAGTTTAAAAAGAAGTCACTTTATTTGAAAGATCTTACAAAGATGTGACCACCTGGAGAGACATAAAACACATTAAAAAAAATATGAAACAGTGGAATCATCACAGCAGTTGTAGTATCATAAACCTTTGTATGTTCATCTTAACTCAAAAATCCAATAGTTTAGTGTTTCTGGTGTGGGGTTTTCTTGTAAATTGTTGCATCACTCATGAATGCTGAGATTCCCTCACTCTCAGTGATAAACGAATCATAATATATTTCAAAATTTTGTACATGTTTACTTGTGTATTTCGTAAAATTTGATTTAAAAGACAATCTTGTGTTGAATTCCAGGAGACCTTAAAAGATTTTTCTTTATGTCTGAATTTTTTTCTTAATTAATGAAGATTATGTTTATTCTCTGTTGTTTGATTTAAGATATATTTTGAGTTTTTTGATTTTAGAGTTTAGTTCAAGTTGAGATTCTGGAGGGTTGTGTGGGTTATGTTTTTAACACATTGGTGGATGTGTTTCTGCTTATAGTTTAGGATTTTTCAAGGTTTTCCTCATTTGTCTGTAAACTTTAAAAAATTAATTAGTAGAATATATATCAGTAAAACGGCATTGCTCTTTCTCTCCTTTTCATACTTTGGTTGTCAATAAAGTCCCAAATAATCCAAATTTCTGTGACTTTTTGTCATAAAATGCACACTTAGGTACAGTTTCATGAATACTGCCTAAATATTATTGGACTAGATACAATACAACTTGTGATAGTAGCTCAGTACGCTTAGGTGTCATAGTGACAGCTCAGGCTCATTAAGTATCCTGTGACAGAGGACCCAACGCACACAGCGTGGCACGATGGTTCAATGTTTATAGTTTTTTTTTTTTTTGTCTCCACTCTTGGCTTTGCAGCTTTGCAGCTGATGTTTCTAGCACAGTATGCAGCACACACCACACACCCAGCAGGACCTGGGTTACTAGAAAGGAGAGGCATGAATAGATGATGGGGATCAGCCATGTGGGTCACCCCTCCCCTGCAGCTGAGCCATAAACCACACCTCACCACATACTCCCAGCGCCAGACTTAGACCGCAGCAATCGGAGCTAGCCTACTCCTACTAGTCTGTAGAATGAAAGGGAGGAAAAAGTTAGGTGTGTAGAGGGACTTTACACACACTACATAGGGCTGCCTTCAACTGCATGAACGCTGCCTGGCAGTGCTCCGTCCACCCGATCAGATCTGGGGCACCCTTTTGGGTGAGATCAGTTAAGCGGTTAGTCAGCTCTCCAAAGCCTGGCACAAACTGGGGGTATTAACCAGCCAACCCCAAGAACTGACTCACCTCCTTTATGGCCCTGGGAGGCGGGCAGGATGCTATGGCAGCTGTTTTATCCATCTGAGGGTCCGCCTGCCCACCTCCCAAGTGGTACTCCAGATACTCTGCCTACCTCCGTCCAACCACACGCTTCTTCTGGGAGGGTGGAGCATGTCTGCGTCAGGGACTCACATACTGTGACACTGCATTCACCTTGCGCTGAAACTTGCAAAGAATATAGACCAATCTTTCTTCACCACAAGAACTATGGGGCTACACCACGCGCTGTGTGACTCTTCTATTACTAACATTTTTAGCATTTCAGCCAATTACCTTTTAACAATGTGTCTTTTAAGGTCAGCTTCCTCTAGGGCTGTAAATGCACTGTGACTCCTGGGCACGTTTCAAAATGATGCTCTATGAGCAAGGTGGAGAACACATCTACAAAATGCTGTTGCAATGCAGCAACACAGGCTCTCTGGGCCTGTGTGAGATTGTCATCATAATAGAGGGAGGTGGGAATTGTGGAATTTTGCACCTCCATCCTAAACTCATCTCTCTCTTTAACCAGGCTTACCAGAGAAGTGGTTTAAGCCTCTTCCCAGTCTTTCAGAGGTTGAGGTGGCGAGCAGCTTTGAGCTGGAAGAAGGGAACAATACAAGCACTTTGTCTCCCAATGACAATTGCCTCAGGCTAGCTGCTCAGTTGTACAGGTGCTGCTGATGTTCCTGGGCCTGGACCAAATATTCTCCCCAAAGTGTGAAGCTTTGCTCTCAGGTCCAAAACATATTGAATATCATTCTTAGCTGGGCTTGGACCTTCCTCACAGTTTTCCTTAAAAAGCTCCAACAGCCCCCGTGGCTTCCTGCTGAACAATAACTAAAGGGAAAAAATCTCGTGGAGGCCTGGGGCACCTCCTGCCCTGCAAACAGCAGAGGGTCTAACCAGCAATCCCAATTGCATTCATCCTCGTAAAGAAATCATGGACTCTAAAGTCTTATTCAGCCGCTCCACCAACCTGTCAGTCTGAAGGTGGTAGTGTCCCTTGGTCAACGACTTAGTGTTTTGGGATTCTGGTTCTTTGATTCTTGTTCATTCATTATTGTTTTCTCTGTGTGAGTTGTTTCCTAGTTAAGTTATATTATTCCTGTTGTAGGTTTTCTGGTTTGTTATTAGGTCTCTTTTCATACCCTACTCTTGTCTCAGTGTCCTGTTTGTCTGTCTTCTGGATTAGACAGGTTTATAATAGAATTTTTACACAAACTTTGCTAAAGAGCACTTCCCTTTACTCCTACAAATGTTTGGTGAGGCTCTGGACAAGGACAGCAGCTTTCAGAAGCTTTTATCTCCCTCTCATTTAAGTCTTTGTTTTTCTTTAAGAGAAAAACAAAGACCCACTTAAATGTAATAGTTACAGACCAAGAAAACTGATTAACTGTAACTGCAAAATTTTACACCCTAAAAAAGTTGGCTTTATTCAGACTCATAGCTCTGCCAATAACATTAATTCAATTCAATTCAATTTTATTTATATAGTGCCAAATCACAACAAAAGTCACCTCAAGGTGCTTTATAAGACATTAGACACCTGTGGGCAGCCCAAAATAAATCCCCCAGGTGACTTTTCTCCAGCTATAGCCCTCTCCCATGATGTAGAGAAAGCATTTGACACGGTAGAGTGACGCTTTCTATTCTGTGTATTGTAATCATCCAAGCAAGGTGGTCAAACTTCTCTATAACAACCCAAGAGCATTAATATTACTGAATTGTATTATATCATATAGTTATATAGTTTGATGGTCCCCTTTTTTTCCCTTTCTCTTTGGGGCAAAGTTAACATTATTAAAACAAAATGTGCTCCAAAATTCAACTACTTACAAGCTCTCCCACTGAAGAAGTACTTCCATCAATCTCACAAGCAGCACAACCAATTCAAAAGGAATAATAAACATCCCAGAATAAAGCTTAAAATGTTAGAGCAACCAATACACCCAACTCTACACCCAAGTAGAGTTGGGTGTATTGGGGGTCCCAAACTTACTGTTATAATCATTACACTGAAAAAACTTGATAATAAAATTATTTTAACATTAACAGGTCTCTAGAGTGCAATGAATTTGGTCGCAAATGCAGCCTAATTTCTCAATGGTGTGACTAAAAACAATCCTAGACAGCACCGGTGCGACCAGCCCTTTGAGTAAAAAAAAAAGTCTCCGCAACTCTTAAAGTCTCTGTGTGGTCAACAACGGACACACATTATGCCCATATCGTGGTCTAAACCAATCAGAGATAGTCAAGGGCGGAACCTCTCAGATGCTTATGTCCAAGGCAACATCTTCAGATATTGAGATGTTCAGTTCGAAGCCTTTGAGGCTCTTTTTATTTTGACTTTCTTTTTATTTTATATATCTTAAATTATTTTAAGTTTAAATGTCAGCTCAGCGAAGCACTTTAAGCACAAGAACTTTTTCAGTACCATATTATTCGGACTACAAGGCGCAACTAAAATCCTTTCATTTCCTCAAAAGTGTGCCTTAATTCTGGTTGTGCTTACTGACGGCAAACTGATTTTATGTGGTACACAGCGCTCAAAAATCTGTCAAAATGTTTTAGTATGTTTTAGTGGTAAGCTATGAAGCTGCACCGCTTGATGGATTGTTGGATCATTACGGCTACTGTTGTCTGGAGCCTCGCAGAGTAATACGTACTGTGCTTCAATGTAATATTACCATATTGTGTGTGTATAAGGACCCCAAAATGGCACCTGTTAAGAGACATGCTTACGAAGCGGATTTCAAACTCTATCAGTCACGCATTAGAACATGGAAATAGAGCAGCTGCGAGAGAATTCCACATTAATGGATCAATGGTACAGAAGTAAATGGTAAATGGCCTGCATTTGTATAGCGCTTTTCTAGTCCCTAAGGACCCCAAAGCGCTTCACACTACATTCAGTCATTCACCCATTCACACAC